CACTCTAACCCTAACACTTCGCAATAGACAACCATTTGGGCTGAGGTCCTTAGTCTAGGCTTAGGTTCAATAATATGTAGTTATACCTCTTATGCCTGAAGAATATTCACACACAGTGATAATCTTTAATAATATAGAAAGACACCCTATACAGAAACTATGAGAAAAGGGGGGGGTATCCCCAGAAGAGTAAGTTAGAAATTGCTAAAATGTGCACAACTACTATAAACTTTATCAATTGTCAGCTACTAGCATAAAGTTTAATTGCCTACTTACTCATGAATTTGTTAATGTTGAAATAAGATATTTTAAACTTAATTTCAGACACTGCAATTAGAATGTTTAATTATAACTTAGATATACAACTTTCTTTGGACAATTACACTGGTTAATGATTCTGAGAGAGCAGTGTGTGTGTGTGTGTGTGTGTGTGTGTGTGTGTGTGTGTTCCTTTGGTTCTTAATTCTTTTTGCCATTCTGCTTTTTTCTCTCAGGCTAATGTCACAACAAATCTACATCACTGACCTGAACAGGATAACTTAGGGGTTTAGGTTTTGCTACTGACTATGCACATGACATAGAAATAAGAGTGTATCCACTAAGTTACTAAAAGTAAATGCATTCTTTACTTTTTTCTCATTAACAAATTGTTTCTGAAAGACATTCGTTAGATATTTCCACACCCACTTTGACTTATAGGTAGTAATGTGAGTATGTTTTCCCTTCCTATCATGATAATATTTCTTTCTATTTAGAGTGTCATAGCCAAGTTCATTTCTTGACTTGGCCATCAATACTACACATAAATTCAAACTATGATTCATTATTTGTCTTGCTTTCCAACAAAAGTAACACCAAGATTGAAATCATTCCTTTTGATCATCATGAGGACCAAATAATTTTTCTTCATAAAATACATATATATATTATTTTTAAGTTGAGCTCCATCTTCTCTAACAGACATACAATGTGAGAAAATTCAGTGTGTGTGCATCTCTGTTCTGTGTGTATAAAAGTTATTCAAGCCGGGCTCAGTGGCTCAGCCTGTAATCCCACACCTTTGGGAGGCTGAGGTGAGTGAATTGCCTGAGCCCGCGGGTTCGAGACCCACCTGGGCAGCGAGACCTCATCTCTACAATAAATCAAAAAATCAGCTGGGCGTGGTAGCACATGCCTGTAACTCCGGCTACTCCGAAGGCTGAGGCGGCAGGATCGCCAGAGGCCAGCAGGTTGAGGCTGCAGTGGCCAGAAGCGGCCACTGCACTCCGGTCTGGGCGACAGAGTGAGACTCCAACTCAAAAAAAAAAAAAAAAAGGTATTCAACTTTAATTTTTCCCAGTTTCATCTTTCTCCTCTAGATTTGGACAATTGTCAAACAATACCTGTTGAGTGATCAAACCGTCTCCTGATCCTTCACTCATCAACCTCCCTATATTACATATAGGAGTGTGTATAGCAGTTATCAGTGTGTTGGTTCTGAACTCTCAACCCTGAGCTCCCTTTCTTCCTAATACAGGAGACGGACCCTGTAAATATTGCTCTTTGCCAGCTCCCACGATGTTAGGCTTTGTCGATAGAGGGCGCTGGAGGGACACACCAATGTCATAACGAGAGAAGGGAGCTGTCTTTCTTGTCTATTTCTGGGTCAGGTGCACTGTCATTCCTTGGCACAGTTTTAAAGGACTGGCATGCAATGAGTTTACAGGCCAGAAAGGACAGTCCAATGGACTGGCTTCAGCATGCACCCTCACATCTCTCTCCACCACCAGCAGTTGTGTGTTCCTATAGCCACAAAACCATCTTCAATGAGGTTTGGATTCACTGGCCCTGGCCAGTGGGGAGGCGGGGCAGAGTGCAAGGAACCCTCCCAAGTTCTCAGTTTTTTTCCTAATTCATAGCTCTGCAACCCTAGAAGTAAATGCTGTGTCTGTATGTATCTGCTAATACTCTATTGCTTGGAATATTCTTTCACACTTTTTAAAGAAATTAATTAGTTATCGTTTACTAGCTAATAATTGTTGATATTAGATTCCCCTTATTCAAATAACTCTTATGGGTCTGTCCTCTGATTATATAGTGTGTTCCCATGTAATTAATTAGACTTCCGCCAAAACAACTATAGGGAAGACGGAGTAAATAAGGTGAGCAAACTTGGAAAAAAGTAGGAAATCTGACATGTCCAAAGAAATTTTATAGGAATGTTTTAGACTGGGTGCATTAAGGGAAACGTATCATGAGGAAAAATGTCTGGGGTCTTCAAGTCTTTCAAAAGCCTACTGAGATGCTGAATATTTATTTCATTTTAGAGGATATATCTATGTATGAATCATACACATTCACACAGGCATGTATGCTGAAATATATAAATAAAATTTTAAAAAGTTTTTTTTTTCTAATTTGAATATTATTAACTGCAATTTCACGCAAATAAATTCAACTTATGTATAACTGGAGGTATAAGCACATTTTAATATTTAAAATAACCTGTTGTAGGCTCTCCCCAAATAAGAAAATATATCTTGAGCCTGTTAAAAATTCTTAAAGTTCAATTCACTAATTAGATCAAAGTGATTTTAGTTCAATTCAGATATAAAGGAGCCAGCTTAAATTTGTTTTATTGCACACCCAACCCCAGCTACCAACTTTTAAAATATGTGTCTTATCCGGGCATGGTAGCATGCGCCTGTAGTTCCAGCTACTTGGAAGGCTGAAGTGGAAGGATCGCCGGAGCCCAGCAGGTCAAGGCCATGGTGGCTCCAGTATGGGCGACAGAGACTCCAACTCAAAAAAATAAAATATGTGTCAGTGATCCCAAAGAATGATCAGAACAAGGAAAGGCAGGCAATTAGTCTAATCCATCTTCACTACTGAAAGATAAATGACTTCATATATTTTGCCATAAATGTTTAAGCTGGGTCTATCTAAAATCCTCAAATACCAAACATGTCTTGGTAGAAATACATATGCTTGTATGTATGTATGTATATATGTATATTTTAACTTTTTGATGTTTTAGGTAAAATAATTCACTTTGAAAAAGCAAAGCATAAATGTCAATACAGTAACTATTAATACTAATTAATATTCACGGTACAAAAAAATCTACAACGTTGAAAACTTACTGAAATTTTGGGGTCCTATATCATTTGCCTTTCTGATTGGCTGATAATAAGACACCAAAGGTAACCACAACACAGTAATTGGTCATTCATCAAAATACATAATATTCTGCTTGTTTCTCAATATAGTGCTTCACAAAATTCTGACTCTTTCTACTTGATTCTACATAGAAATTAGGTGTTCATTCTTATTGTGCCTGTCTCTCTAATATTTGGGAGCATTTACTAAGACAAAATTCACCAACGCATAGAGCATTTACTAAGGCAAAGAGCATTTACCAAGACAATTATCTTTACAGTTGATCAATAACATTAATATTAACACTCTTGCTAAATATTCTCTGTCATCATTTCAAGGTCCTGTCCACTTAAATTTACCTATGGAAAGAAGCAGATTAATATTTCAGGTCAACATATAACACAAAAGAGGAGAGAGAGTTACATTGAAGAGTGAGACTTTTCCTGTTGTTCCAGAATTGTGTCTAAGACCCAGAGATGAAGGGGAGGCAAGAAAAAAGTTACTTAAATCTTCACATTCTAATTAGAAATAACTTTAAAGACTTCCAGTGTTTTGTTTCAACCATCTCCTCAAAGGTGAAGATCACCTTCAACTCCATGGTGCCTCACAGGCTAGTATAAGAACAAAACTGTGAGGTCAGAGGTCAGAGGCTCTGATGGAAGAAAAAGCATATGTTCTAATGATAAAAGTGATTCTGGCTCCCCAGTGAAAAAGTAGGGATGTCCCAATAAATGGGCTGATAATGTTTGTAAGAGCCTGAAAAAAAGGAAAACCTTTTGTTTTGTTTGTTTATTCAGGAGGAAAATCTCCAAACATGTCAACTTTCCCCTTGACTTATAAGAGAGAAGGAAGACATGGAAGAGGAATGACATGGTGGGGGATGCCAGGGTAAGAAAAGGACACAAGCATATCCTATGATTCTCATTGCCTGGGTCATGAGGAAGACGAATCTCTAAAAAACTGGGAGATCCTGGAGAGGAGGATGCCTGAGGGGTGAATAAGGCTGTGAGCCACAATCTTAGCAGGGAAGTAGCATAGGACAAGAGACATGTGCATTAGGGAACACAGGGTAAGGTAAAAGATAGCCGAGGGACATGACGGAATCCGGCAAGGTATTAATGAATGAAACATTATTTCAAAAAATATTCTATTACACAGCACTATAGTTAGCAGTAGACATGGAGGACTGATTATTAAAAATGTTCATGCTTAATCAAGCCTTTATCTTGTGATTCTAGTCCACCAGTTTCTAACACACCAGACCAATTTCCCTCTCCCACCCATCTCCATTCAAAGGAAATAAATAATACCAGTTCCACAGAATAAAAAATGATCGGCATTCTAATTTTCTTTAGATTGAATTATATATGCCTGCTACTCGTGCAGATTGCATCTAATTGTATGCATGTAGAAAGTATGACAAAGTGCCCACCTTGCTCAAGACCAATAATAAGTTTATTTTATGTATAATGCTGACCATGACCTCATTCTGTAAGAAGCAGCTATCTATGAAACTGTACTCATTTTACTTGTGGAAGTTCACAATGATACCTTAATCCAAGAAAACTGTTTTCAGTGATTTGTGATTATTTTTGTTTAAACAATTGTTTGCCACACTGTAGATAGGGAGACAACGTTTGAAAATAATATAAAATACAAAGAGCTAATCCAAGCACTAAAGTTGGAACACGATACCACAGATCCAAACAGGTTAGCATCCTTAATTCTCCACGTACTTGAGTAGACCAAATAGACATGAAGTAGATACATAATCTTATAATACTAAAAACATGAGTTTAATCTAAGTTACCCCCACTTCCCATTGTATAAAGTAAAACAATACTATTTAATAAAAGACTCACCATATCTGTATCTGAGACAGGGCCAAAACTGGTCACGTAGATGTTAGTGAAGACTTCAGTAATACTGTCTGATATGAGAAAAGAGATTAAATATAGATATTATATAATAAAAGCCACAGGAGAGAGAGGGGGTCGAGCACATGGCATGGTTTGAAAGCTGTGTCATAAATTCAGAAGTGTTGCATTTTACTTTCTTGTGAGTCTCCATTACAGCCATATTGCTTGATAATTTCATAGGTTCTTACCGTCCCAAATGCAAAATACCTAAAAGTATTATGACATTTTTACTTAGAAACCATACCTGACTTAGAGCATCCTGTTTTAAGACTTATTACCCTGAATGAATAGTTTCTTAGAAACCATCTTAAGTAAACTAGTTTATGATAAATTTACCACCAGTACAGAAAATAAAGTATGGTTATTGTTTGACACAGTCCTAAAATTGATGTTTAAACTCAATATTTCAAGTGGTACTTCATGATAGTAGAAATTGTTTACATATTTTAATCATATATCTTTTCCATAAAGCACAAAACAGATTGTTAATCATCATAAATATAATTCATATTAATATAAAAAGCTTTATTATTCAATAGCATAAAAATAAAAGCAAATAACTTGAATCAATCACATTTGATTACTGCTAAACAAGCTTGCTTTTAAATGTATTTAAGATGCCTGAAATGCTAAGATTGAATTAAACTGGATTCAAAAATTATGTAGCATGTTAACTGTAACACAATTAACTGAACAGTTTTATTAACCAGGTGATTTATATCTTTGATTTCAAATAAAGCCAAGAGTCACTGATGAAGGAAACAGTTCAAAGGAAGGATTTAAAAACAAAAATAGTTTCAATGTTCTTGTAGACATAAAAATACATCATTAATTTCTATCATCATGAGCTGATTGCCTTACCCACCAAATGTCAAATTTGTAATTCTACACATACAATATCATAAAATATTTTTCATAGTATAGTAGACATTAATTTACAACCATCAAAGAGAGAAAACTATGTCTGGGATATTGTATCCACTAAGGCAATAATTAAAAATAAAAAGAACTTTGAATGACACTGGGGATACTAAAAAGGGGGAAAGGGAAAGAGGGCTAGGGTTCAGAAACTATGCACAGAGCACAACATTCACTATGGGGAATGGTACACCTGAGACCCAATCCCCACCGCTACACAATATGTTCGTGTAATGAATACGCATGTGCACCGCCTAAATCTAATATTTAAAAGGAGAGAGAGGAAAAAAACAGAGTAGACTTTGAGTGCTTACTACCTATTGAGTACTCTAAAAGCACTCGCCATAGACAAATCTGTATGACCAACTGATGCTATAGATTCTATGTTATCCTCCTTACACGTGTGTACAACAATGACCAGCAAGGTAAGAGAATGTGTCCACGAGTAGTAGACAGAGACAGGTTTCAGGACCCCACCAATCCAGTTTCTGAGAATTCTGACTAAGTCAAAAAACACTGAAACACCGTCAATGATCAACTTGAAACTAAAAGTAGTTTTTAATTAACCACATATTTCTATTCACCAGTGTACCCTATGCAAAAACACAGAATGCTCCAAATAGATATGTTTATTCAACTTTATTTTATATACAATTTTATACCTAAAATTGTGTTTGTGACATTCTATTATAAAAGCCATTTGGAACATAAATTCATGTACAAAGTTACTTTCAGTTGCCACCAATACCCAGGACCTGCACAGGATCAGCCTTCTGGCCACACAATTTCTTAGGACCCTGTGCTCCAAAGAGTCCCATGCTTGGTTTAATGTTCTGCCTGTGCTCACTTAAAATTCTTAATAATTTAAACAACAGGCTATGTATTTTCATTTTGAACTGAGCCTCACAAATTATGTAGCTGATTCTGGACCTGAACTATTTATGTTATAAATATCATGAAAATGAAACCCAAGTCTTTTTTCTTATCCACATCAAATTAATCATGCTATTAAATGTATTCAACAAACAACTGAATATAATTTTAGTTGTTATAGATATTGATCTAGAAAGCTGCAGAGAAAAGAAATTACAATGTTAAGGTAATTTTCACCCTCATAGAAGAACGTGAAATCATTTTCCTTAATCTAAGCTGTAAAAGAGAAAAGAGATGCTAAAAGTGTGTGACTTTATTGCTACTGAGGATATAAATAACATTCACTATATGCCAAATGGCAGTAAAGGGTATAGAGTATTATCCATATCCAGTGGCTGTAGGGAGCTGTCAGCAAATAATTTTTTAAAAAACAGTATTAGGTAGCCTCCAAGCTCTAAATAATCAGAGAAACACCAAGAGACTTAAAAATTCATCATGCAAAGTTATTTTAAGGAAAATAAATGGTGTCATAGATTACTGACTTCATAAATAGAGATAAAGATGTATATATTGAAGAGGATATTCTCCTGCTATGGAAGTTTAGAAAAAGGAAAATCAGGAAGTCAAGCACTGACCATGGATGTGAGCCTGGAAAAGGGATTCTTGGTAGTAAGACTTTGAGGATTTTAGGATAGATGGATGCACAAAGCTGTAAAGAACTGACATGGATCAATGAAATATTTTAGTGTGATGACTACAAATATTTGATACATCTAGAAGAAGCTTTGGGGTTTCTAGAATCAAAATTCAATCTTTAATTATGATTTGGCTTTCCCTAAGAGAAGGAAAGAGAAGGGAAAAATGAAAGGGAAGGGAAAGAAATGGAGAGGAAGGGAGAATGACAGATGAGATTATATGAATATGAGTACAGGGTCTCTCCAGATCTTCTGACACTGATTTGTCAAAAGTTCCTATCATCTGCCTATTAGGAAGATATGTGTTGTTTTCCCATGTGGATTTCAAACAAGGTGGAATTGTGCTATTAATGCCTGTTACAATATTTTGATCCATGGAACAGATATATATCACAGAATAAACAAATGAACTTGGTCTGCACTTGGTCTGCACTTGGTCTGAACTTGGTCTGCACTTGGTCTCTGTGCATTTTAAGTGTCATGAAACACTCTTTCTTCTTTTGTTGTTTTTTCTGTTTTTGTTTGTTTTTGTTTGGTTTGTTTTTTTTTTTTTTTTTGAGTTGGAGTCTCACCCTGTCGCCGGGACTGGAGTGCAGTGGTCACTCCCGGTCACCGCAGCCTCTATCTGCTGGGCTCCGGCGATCCTTCCGCCTCAGCCTTCCAAGTAGCTGGAACTGCAGGCGTGCGCTACCACGCGCGGTTAGTTTTTTTTTTTATTTATTGTAGAGATGAGGTCTCGCCAAGTTGCCCAGGCGGGTCTCCAACCCGCAGGCTCAGGCAATTCACTCACCTCAGCCTCCCAAAGGCGCGGGATTACAGACTGAGCCACCGAGCCTGACATGAATCACTCTTTCAATCCTATTCACTCTTAGTGAATACATCAAATGCTGTCCTGACTCAGAGCCTTCACATTGACTATTACCTCTTATCTTCCATTTGTGGTTAATTGTTTCTCTGCACTTAAGTCTCAGTGTAAATGTTCTTTCTCAGAGCAGTTCCCACTATGTAATGTAATCCCTTTATAATCCACTACTTCCCCATATAATGTAAGTCTTCTTCTTTCATTGTTTTTTCTATCTAACACCTTGTTTCTTTTTATGGGACTTTTTAGAATATGCCACTAATTTCATGCTTTGATATTTTTTATTTATTTTTTGGTCTCCCCAGCCAGGATTCAAGCTGTCTAAAGGACAAGGACAGTATCATTTCTGCTCACTATTATATCATAAATGCTTAGTACAAGTCTATTATGTTTCATGCAGTATATTTGAATAAACAAATCATTTCTCATTATAGTTTATGCAGAATATCTGTCTTTTCCAAAAATGTTTCATCAATATTAAAAATGGCCGTGCATCCCTGTTGCTATTCAAAACGAAAAGACACCTCTCATTTGTGAAGTCAGCACTCAAACTATCCATTGACAAAGGCAGGTTAAAAATCTAGCAAATAGGTTCCCAGGGAAGTAACAAAGTCGAGGGAAGGAAAAGAATGTACTTGTAGCTGGAGGTGGTGGCGTGTGCCTGTACTTGGGAGGCTGAAGCAGAAGGATCGCCTGAGCCCAAGAGGTTCAGGTTGCCAGGAGCCGAGATCATGCACTCCAGCATGAGTGACCAAAAAAAAGAAAAGTACTTGAAGAGAGCATTGATTCAATGTAAACCAAATGGAACTTTGAATAGTAAGCAGATTCTGTATATATTTCCAGGGGTAAAATACCATGAGGTTGATAAGAGGTACTTTAGGAGAAATAATACATGCATGTGGCAAATACAAAAAAAATGTATCATTCTTGGGAGCAGCCATCAAATTTAGGATGGCGGCTACCACTTGAAAGAGAGTAGGGGAACATAGCCTGCAGGTGTACACTGAAGGGTACATCATGTATTTCTAATATTTTCCTTCTTTCAGAATGAATCCCAATCAGTTTTGGCAAAATCTTGAAATTTGATGAAGGTGGTCATTCAATAAATCTTGTTATTCTGTATATTATTCTCAGTTTTTGAAATATTTCACAGAAATAAATACATGGCTCTAAAAGATATCAAAAATGAATATGTAAATAATTTCAAGAAGAGATTAAATTAATTAATAAAAATTTATTTTTCACTGGGCAATATAGTATTCAATAACAATAAAAATTTCTGTACAAAATATTTTGAAAAACTGAAAAGAACAAAATTAATTTTCAACTAAGATTTCTTATCTCATAAGATTCACTTAAGATAGATTTTTGAAGATAAAATGTGAGTAAAGCAAAATATCCACCATGAAAGAGCTCACAACACAATAAAAAAAGAAACATTTTTTAAAATCATTATACAATAAATGTCTGCTGCAACTGAGAAAACAGTATATCGATGCTCAGAGAAGCACATTGGAGAAGGGCGTCTAGGTGAGTTTCACTCTTTTGTGATATTCAAAGGTCTTAAACATTCTGTAAGCCAACAAAGTATAGGGAGGATATTCCAAGCAGGGATACTCTTTTGTGCGAAAGTCAAGTCCTGAAAACAGTTACGTTCGGTACG